AATTTGACCGGCATTTCTAGAGCACACAAAGTGCACACCAACAACGCTGGGTTCGGCACAGCAGCAATAGCCACGTTTCATTCGAAAGCCCAGAGGGTGGTGACACCCACCTTTTATACACCACCGCCGCCACCTGCTATGTTTTATAAAGAGCAAACTCTGCTTTGTTCTTTCAGAGAATGCCCAGAGGTGCCTGCCCTTGGCAGTGGGTTCTGGGCTCTGCCCAGCTCCTGGCCACCGGTCCAACGCTCTAATTAAAGTGCTCCCTTTCCCCGTCCCCTCCCAGAGCACGTGTATAAATGCCCCCATCCCAGTGTCTGCATCTCCCAAGCTGCTGGATGTACTCAGGTCTGGATCTGCTGTCAAACAGAAATGAAGAGAAAGCTTTCCTAGCCTCAGGCAACAGCTTGCTTGTGCTATTGCTTCCTCCCCCTCATGTGAATTAGAACTCAGGACCTTGGCTCCAACAGCACAGTGAAGGAGTGCTTCTATTAGATGGTAGTAGCATCAGCTTGCTATCCGCTGCATAAAGTAGCCCCTGGGGACTGGGGTAGGGATGTGATCCTTTCTTTGCAAATGTGCTCAGCTCATATAAGACCCTGAGAAGTGGACTTTTTATTACAGCAAAGTGAGAGAGGTTGTGCTGGAAATGGGCGAGAAGTGTAAAGAAACCAGAGCCAGTGTTCCTTCATAGCAAACCCTCATGATGCCTTTTTTATTTGAAGCCATAATAACAAGCACCAGAAAAACATGCAACATAATCTCGCATAGAGGGGCCAGGCCTGGGAGGGAGGTGGGGCTCGCCAGAGAGCAGATAGTCAGTGCAAGGGTCTGGAGCATTCGCTCCCCAGAGGAGAGCTAATTCCTGAGGTGCTGCCCCTCCCAGCCACTCCTAGTGCAATTGCTGGCTTTAGCAGTAGCCAAGAGGGTTAGAGAGTGATTCCTTTGGTGAGCATGTTCCTCCCGCTTCCCCAGATTCACACACATTCAAAGCTACTCACTCCTGCCAAGCCTGACACCCTCGCTATCCCCAAAGAAGAAATTCAGCAGAGGCTTTTAACAGTCTACAGCAGGGGTGTCAAAGATATGGCTGCATCTGACCCGGCCTGCGGGGCTCCTAAGAAGGCTGGAAATTTGGGCCAGGGTCCACTGCCACAGACACACCTGGGCACCTCTATACTCTGTGTGGCAGGGGTACATGGGGAAGTATCAGTGGCTGCTGTTTTTGTGCCCTCCCCACAACTTGGTGCCCAGGATTTATAACCTGGTCCTCCCACCTTAGCCCATTGTTGACTTTGTGTGTACCTAGTCCTGTTGGTGATGTGTCAGTGACAGAAGTTACAAGGCGGAGAAGAACAATGGTTATGTTAACAACCCCTGTGCCCCCACCACTCACCCTGCCACCAGGCCCAGATCCAGCCCATGAGGAGCTCCGGGGTCCGGGTCCAGCCCAAGAGGCTGGTCAAGTTTGACACCCCTGGGTCTACAGGAGGATGCAAAGCCAGCGCTAGCTAAGGTTGGTTCCTCCCCCTCTTCCAAGTGACCTGTCCCAGTGGTCCCCACATCTGCTGGAGGTTAGCCTGACACAGATCTCTGTCCCAGGACAGGGCTGTATCATGAGCAGCATTGAACAGCAGGCCCAGATTCTGCAAGGCAAGCTCAGTGGGAATCATTAATGCAGGACTGCGGGCTGGGTTGAGTCTGGCACCCCTAATGCTATGGCTGCCTATGGGCTCCATTAATTTTCAGAGGGTAAAACGAATACTATTCAACAGTTCCAATCCCCGCACCCAGCACTGGGCAGAGAGGGCAGTGCCAATCTTAGCGCCACTAAGCAGAAAAATATATAATACTTTATATTTCCCATTTCAAATAAATAAATACAGACATGGAACAAAACAAAACTCACAGTATACGTCATTCACGGACCCTGCTTCTGCATGAGGGCTGGGGTTAAAAATACAGAGAAATACTTTCTCTTTTTCTCCTGTACCTGGAGCCGTTATTACTAATCAGTGATAAGAAAAATAAAGACACAGATATTCATCCCTCCCTCCTTGGCATGGACAGGAGCCAGCTCACAAACCCTGGGCTCCTGCAAGATACAGAGCAGCATAGTTCCCTGCTGTGACTCATGCTCAAAGAGGCCAGCTCTTCAGCTGGTGTCAGTCACCATTACTTGCTGACCTCCGTGCAGCCACAGTGACTTATACCAGCTGAGGACTGCCCTCAGCTATCATCCAAAATTAGCAAAAAGGGACAAAGGCAAAGCAGGAATCATTTGTGTTGGTGGAGCTTCGGTTGTTCATTTGTTGTGGTATGGAAGCCTGAAGGGTTTCAACTATAGCAGCTAGCAACTGCCCTTCCAGATTAGACTGATGGTCTGTCTGGTCTGGACCCTTGTCTCCAATATCAGCTGCTTCAAAGGAAGATGCAAGGAACCCTACACTGGACAATTATGGGACAGCTTGACCAGAGGGGAAGTGTCTTCCTGCCTCCTGGCAGCTAATACTTGACTTATGCCCAGGAACTGCAAACACCATGAAGAACTAAGAGGCTTCCCACCTAGCCGTTGGGCTGGAGAAACACCACGGGCCGTAGACCATTGGGTTCCCTTGCTTCCTGGGGCATTTCAAGGCAACAGATTGAGAAGCACACAACACGGTCACTACGCTGTGCTGCAGAGAAGGGGCTCCTGTTAAACAGTGGTATCCGATCCTCTGCAGCTCTGTTGCCACCAGATGACTCTGTAAGATGGTTGCCATCCTGCAGTGGAGGGAGGGGGAGCTCATTCCAGGAGGAAGAGGAAGGGGAACTTACAAAATATGTAGAAACGGGGTCTTTGCTGAACAGAAGGTCCCACAGCTAACAAAGCACCATTAACATCAGTGTCTCCTTCAGCAAAGGGGAGCCCCCTCCCCAGCACATCGGGAGGGGAAGAAAAGGGAATAAGACTGAAAAGACCTAAGGCAGAAGATTTGGAGTGGGCTCTGAATTACTGGGCCCCTGCCTGAAGGGAAAGTATATACCCCTCATCATGCATTGCAGTGCCCTGAAGGGGAGGTATACAGCTCCCACTATACACAGCAGTGCCTCAAGGTTCTCAAGGAGTAAAGATTTTAAGGCACTAAAAAAGCTGCTTTACATGGATTTCAGACAGTCTAGGACAATGAACAAGAGGCAAGAAGAGGAGCCATGAGAACCCCTGATCTGATGTCCAGCAGAGGGCTGCTTCGTTTGGGAAGACTGTGTAAGGAGTATAGATATGTAAGAAAAAAAACATAAGACCGAGGAGCGCTGTTGTTAGTCCCATCCTCCTCTACCCCTTCCTATTCCCACCCGTGGAAGAGGCGTACAAGCCAATGAAGACTAGAGCAGTTGTTAAGGAAACAGCACAACAGAAAAGAAAGATTAATGTAGTGCTAAATATGCCTTGTCTTTGGGATCTGTGCTGCCAGTGCCTACCTTCCCTTCTGCCCAAAAGCTCTGGGCAGAACCCCGTCAAAAGAGATCAGACCTCACAATCCCAAAGGGCTCCAGGGCCAGCTGCCTATGCCGCAGTGGCTGGAAAGACTAGCGATAGTCTTGTTCCTGGGTTTGGTGACCCATCAAGCTGCCACGGAGCTACAGATCACAGGATGCAGGTGGGAAAATGCCACTGAATTAAGCAGTCTGTCATCATGCAGCTAGACAAGGAAAATGCTAATGGCCTTGGGCGTGGGCAAATGAATACTCCAGTGTAATTCACATTGATTTTATATACTAACGTAAACTACACCAGGCTCTGGAATGGACAGATATGGAGCTATCCTGGGGTAGTTCACATAGTAGGAAGCTATTCTGGCACCATCCCACTAGGTGCCAAATTAGCAATAACAGCCTGTTTGCCTTCAGGAAATGATTGACTACCCCAGGATGGACATGGCTAAAGGACACCTAAACTGGTGTAACTTACACAGGTGAAGTTTTACCCCTGATTCTTTCAGGGCTAATTCTGCAGCAGATCAGGCAGTTACCCCAGCCTAGGCATCATTCATCCACTACTTTTTCACACAAGTGTCATGTCAGTGACCTCCGTGGAAATGTTACATCTGTCCAGGGCTCTAAACTTTCTCCTTGAACACACTCCCATCTTGCTGGTGCCCATGTGAAACCTAAAGACACTGTTACTGCCTTGCCAAGATTTTTTCTCCTCGGAGCAAAGTGTCATCAGTTTAGATCAACAAACTACAGAAATGCATCCTAGAAGTCATGCACGGCTCCGTGGCTTAGGGCATCAGAGAGCATCCATGTCCTGCTGCAAGCCCCACTGGGATCTGAAATTTCCAGCTCCTTGGAGGGCTGATAAAGAGGGGTAGGAGGCCCAGGGATATTCCTCAGACATGGGGGCGAGGCAGCCTTTAATGGACATGTGGCTCCGGGTGGGAAGCAATATCAGTTCCTTCTGCAGAGGCCACTTTGGAAGAGGAACAAGCTGGACACCTGTCTAAGAAAAAGACTCCCCCTTCCTTGAGAATGGAAAATACTGTGTAGGTCCCTGCCCTGCATAGGCAAGATGATGTCCCACTGGCAAAGGATGTCACAGGCATTAAGCTGCTGGCACACTGATTTAACTGGCCTAAATAATGAGCTCCCTCCGAGCCACACAGGAGCAGAAAAGCAGCTGAAAACCCTCCATCAGCTTCCCTGAGGAGATAAGAAGGCTTCAGGCAAAAGGGAGGAAGAGATACATACCCGCCCCCCCCTTAGCAGCATATTCTCCCTCTTCCCCACCTGCACCCTTTACTCCCTCTGCCTTGTTCCTAAGGGAGCAGGGAGGCAGGGATAAGACTGCCTCTGCACAGGGGTGCTTTTGCACAAGGAGGTGCCAAGATGACTGGGCTCCTGCAGTCTCCCTGACTTAGGTCTCTTCAACCCCTTTGCTTTTGCTAGCAAGTGACCTGCCACGGCTTCTAAAAGCCAAATTGGCTTGTCATACCAGCTGCGTGCAGAAATTCCACACGGCCTCATGCTCTGGGGAGGGAAGCCAGGAACACAGGAAAAAGGAAATGATGTTTATAGAGAAAGAAAGAAAAACCCTGCTAAAGAAAACACAAGTTTTGTGGTAGCCACTAGGAGTCTGCTACAAGTTAAGTATACCTGGGACTATGACAGGGCTCCTGCCTGCCAGCCACTTAAAGGCAGGCATCTCATAATGCCCAAGAGGGATGCTGGCATGACCATGGGCCTCAACAAGGATTGCAGAGGATGTGACTCCCGTTGGGGCTCAGCAGTGGGATGGGCATGTATTTGTGTGTGTGAGACAAGGTGCTGTCAATTCGGGGTGGGGACACCTTGGGACCAGGGTGGGTGGGAGAGGAGGTACTTTATTGCTTGTCGATGGCTCCTTGTTCTGCAGAGCTCTCCTTGCTGGTGGCTTGCGCATGCCATGTGGTCTCTTTAAACACAAACCAGCAATTTCCAGCCCACAGGATAAAGTTGATGAAGCCAAAGAGCTGGAAGAGAGAGAGAAAGAGAGAGAGGGTAAAAAGCGTGGGCAGGAAACACACACATACACATGCCTGTGTGTGCTCAGTGGGTAGATTTAGAAGTGTTCAAAACTGCAGTTATGTTGTCCTCTGGTGCCAGTCACTGAAAGGATAAGGCTAGGGACAATTACAGCCAGCAGAGAACTTCCCTTAGGTTAGCCATGCTGGAGGCCTTACAGATTTGAGAGTCTCCACCTAAGTTTCCTTCAATCCCTATGCTGCAGCAGTAGCATCACTAAGGCACACAGACATCCAGCTGCTGTGACTGCATGGCAAAGCAATGCACTTGGGACCAGGTACAGCGCTCCATATGACATCTCAGCAGGGTTTCCCACCAGCTCCCGGTGCCTCATCTGCCCTGGTCCATTTAGCAAGAGATGCACGAATGTAACACAAATGCAACCCACCCTATATGTCTCTGTCACCCTCTACTGGCAGTGCACCTAGAAAATTTGAGATGCCTGATGTAGCTTTGTTTAGGTCTTCTAAGCCAGGATCTTTCCACTCAGGTAAGAAAAGGCTCCTGCTTTAAGAGCCAGAGGTCCTGCATCATCTCCATGCTCTGATATCCCTCCCAGGGTGGTGGCTTGACACAAGTTGATATTACTGTGATACCTATGGGAGTCTGCACTGATGTTTTGCATGATACCTAACACTGCAGATTTTGCACCTCATGGGTCAGACCCCCAGCTGGTAAAAATGGGCTATTAATTTCAGTGGAACTACTCCAATTTGCACCTGCTGAACATGCAGCCCACTGCCTTCCATGTCACCACGTCACCCGGGTCCCTTCCTACCCCCTGGCTTGCTGTTCTGCCAGCTCTTACCACAGAGATGTTGGCCAGCCCCATGGAGGGAGTGGCCCCAGCATTACAGACACTCTCCTGGATATGGCACACCGTCATGGCAGCGATGAGGCTAGATGGCCGTGTGGCTCCCTTCACATCCGATAGGCCTTTGCCCCAGGCTGCAGCCGCCACCAGCCAGAAGAAGGTAAATGAGACAGTGACACAGAAATCCTGGAGGGGACGGGACAAATAATAAGTGTCATGCTGCTCCCAGCTCTGCACACAAGGGTCCCTCTCATTCTCACCAAACATGGGCACTATGATCTGTCTCCGGGATCCTGATTTCTTCCTCCCAACCCAGATGCTCCAAAGAAGGACCCTCTAGCTCCATTCCAAAGCCCTCCGAAGTGCTTGGTTAAAGCGAGCCCAGGGCATTTGTTGGAGGGTCCCATAAGGCTTCTTCCTCCCAGATGATACAACTCCACACTTTATTAAAAAGCCAAAGTGTTTAGGGCTGCATGACTTCAGCTATATGGCTTAGTTCTGCCCTTGTTGCTTGTATCCAGTACCTCCCAATTCTGTCCTGTAGCCCCAGGTACCAAACAGACCTTGCAGGATCTGCTGCCTTTGTCTGCGAGTGCTGGCTCTGAACCTACCTTCAGTCCTTGCTCCTAAGATACAGAGCTGCAGGCTATAGTGACTGGTCTGCTGACTTCAGCCATAATTACGGGATGCATGAAGATAGGGAAGAGACTACCTCATTGGCCATATCCCTCTTCCCTATTACTACAGATGTGACAGTACCACAAGGAAAGAGATCGCAGTGCCTGGAGTGGGGTGCAAGACTGGAACATTGGTTGAGGAGGAAAAAAGTGAGTTCAATGATTAAGATGATACATAGGTGCTTATCTCCCTCTCCTGTTTCCTATCAAGAGACTAACAGGACTAGCTCCCTTCCTCTACTCAAGAGAAATAGGAAGTGATTTACCCAGGGTCTCTCAGTGAGTCATTGTCAAAGCCAGGAGTCCTGGCTCTCAGCCTTGTGCTCCAGTCATTAGACCAGTCTCTCCTGCTGCGTAAACAGATTAAACCCCACACTCCTTTGGATTAAGCCCCAAGCATAAAGAAATGCTAAACCAAGGTTGTGCCCTGGGAGACTCAGATCTTACTGCAAAGGGAAGCCTCTTATTCTCGACGTAGAGAGAATGAAATCGCAGATAGACCACCAGGGCTGCCATGCTGTAGAGGAAGGAGAAGACCCCCAGAGTCACAAAGAACTCGGCTGGAGCTGAGAAGTCCCCCATGAGATGTAGTGTCCTTTTCTCAGCGTCTTCCTCGCAGACAGGCATTTCAAATGGAATCTGGTATAACCTGCTCCAGAGAGAGGAGTGGAGAGAGGAGATGCATTTCATTCAGAAAGTGTTGAGAGCAGGGGAAAGAATAGCTGTCACCCCCTCCCAACTCCCCCAGTGAAAGGAGCTGGCCTATTTGATGGCTGGGATTGGTGGGCAAAGTAATATAAAGCTTGCTCCCTCAGATGAAGGTGGGACCATAGAAACCCCATATATCAACTGAGTTCAGGGGCCAAAACATGAATGAACAGGGTTGGGAATTGCAGGCTTCAAAATGAGGGGCTCGCAGAGGATGCCAAGCAGAGAACCTGGAACAACACCACTGTCCATCTCCCACCGGCACCTAAAGGACCTCTCCCCCAATAGGGCCTGCAGGCCAGTGGCAGGGCATGCTTCTTCATGCTGCCTTGCCAACATGGCTCATCTATTCTAGGATCAGCAGCCACTGCCCATAGTGGCATATCCCAGTGCCTGGCCTACAGTAGCTCTTACACCAGAGGGGTGCTCCCCATCGATGACATGCTAGTCTAGTCATGGTCTAGAAGCGTTCAGATAGCATAGTGGTTGGTCCTCTGCTTCTCTGCCTGCTTAGGTTTTATGAAGCATACCCATTGCTTCAGCATCTGACTGCCTCTCAGCTGAGCTTGCCAGCAAAGAAGACCGACTCGTGGCAGTAAGGGTAGGAGTTTAAGTGACACTTCATCTCTCCTAATGGGAATGATATGCACAGACATTGCTCACAGAGGCTGCCAGAAAGGCACCAGCTGGTATTAGTGTTCTGATTCAATATGGTCTGATTTAGACTGCGGGTTCTCCAGGGCCATGACCTTACCTTTGTCCACAGCTATAAAGCACCTTACAGATTATGTAAATAAGTAAAAGGCTACTCTCTGTCACCACCTTCCTAGGTTGATTATGAAAAAATTTTCAGCCTGGTATCCCACTCCCAATCCTAGGACATTTTTGTTTTACCCAAAATGTAAAGGAGTTTCTTTACACTCTGACCCTTTACGTGCACTGTCAGAAAACTGAACATAACAGCACTGAGCTAATACCCAACTGTCTAGAAATATAGGACCAGATCCAGAATGAATATAAAAATCATCATTTCTTCTGCTCTCAGCAGACCTGTGCCCACTTGCTGCAGGATCGGCGATAAGGACTTGACCTGGACAGTGACACAGAATGTCCTTGCTTCCATTTAGCAAAAGGTACAAAACAGAGACAATAAATGGGGAACAAGTTAAATAGGTGCTTAAAATCCTAATCACTGCAGGTTAGGAGTGAGTTGACTGCAGCCCTTAGAAGAAGGGAAGAGAGCTGTTCTCTTCCATCATGTGTTCTGAACCAGAATGGAGCATGCATATATTACAGGTCAGATAATTAAAAGAAATTTGATGGCAAGAACACTCATTAAGGAGGACTGACTTATCCCCATATATCCCAGACCCTGCAGACAATGATCGCTGCCAAGAAGGGACAATGACCATTGTTTTAGCTGCACACTTCCCCATTTCTCCCCCTGCTAACAGTTCTCCTAGTCAAATGAATTTCAATGGAGTTCAAAGTTGTATCTCTATATATAGCTACCAAATGTTGGCAGGCAGGCCAAGATGTGTGGATAGATATAGCCATGTTCACACTTTTCATATGTTTAGCTTCACAGGATGGATTTCAATCTAATTCTGGCCCCTTTTCTACTCACTCAAGATGCTTTTTTTTGCTGAGCCCCAACAAATGAAGCAGTTATTTCTATTATTGCTCTGACTTCCTTGTTCCTTGGCAAACCTCTCTTGCTTTGGACTGGCAAAAATACTAATGAAGGCTGGGCACAATGGAACAGACCACTAGCCCATCAGCTCCAGTAACCTACTTCGAGCAATGGGAGACATCTGAAACACTCTGTTAGATCTCTTTCTGGGCAGGTGATGGAGGGATACTTTCTAAAGTGAACTACTTGTTTTGAAAGTTTGCATCCAAGGAAAAGTGGCAAATGTTGCTGTAAAGGACAGAGGGCTGATCTCCAATTATTTAAGACTGCTGTGTTTGACCTGTTCCTGGGCATCATTACTGTATGCTTATATTGGGTTATTGTTTACTGAATGCATATGCCGGTTTAATTTAATAGCAGGGTTACTGGGAAGCAAGCAGGAGGGGAGCACAGTGGCTCCAGATAAGCAACCTCTCAGGGGTCATTAAGAGACAATACCTGAGCTATTAGCTGTGAAGATGCTATTTCCAGGCTCCAAACTGAGGCAAAGATCAAAAAGACTGTAAACAGTTAAAAAGTCTCTCTCTGTCCAGCTATGAGGCAGTTGTCAGGGAGCCATCTGTGGAGAGCAGGGGGGGTCTGAAGAGATCTGGCCCCAGAGAAAGAGGTAACCCTTAGGTAAGGCAGATGTGTGAGGAGGTTACTTATTGTTTTCACGGCCTTGTTCTTACACATTAAACTTTGTTCCAGTTGCCAAAATGAAACAATCCTTTGATCCGAGGAACCCCTCTGGTCACTTTTATTAACTTCTGGTTATGAGCCAAGACAGGTCTGATTTGGTGGGGCATGTTCGATATACAGGGTGCTGCAGAACCAGTCTTAGATCTGGAGAATCATCTGATTCCTCCCTAGGCAAGCAAAAGTACAAAACCCAATTGGGTCTGTACTGAGAGATCAGAGAGGGTCTCTGAGGTACAGATAGTCCAGAAACCACAACAGCTGCATAGGACTCAGCTCTTGCCCACATTACAGACTTCTGCCAGAAGAGCTGCATCAGCAAGGGGTATGAAAAGATACTAATGCAGCTATGCCAGCAAAACCTCAGAAGCAAAGCTTCTGTCATTCGTGGGAGTGGGTGTAACTCTGGTGACAGGAAAAATGTACCAGCAGGGCCATGTTCAAACCAGGGAGCCTGGCTGCTTCAGCACTGCCATTCTAGTTAAAGCAGCAACAGTCCCAGAGCACAGACATAGCTGCAAAACTTACAGAGGTGGCATTGAACCCTGGGGGCTATGAAGGGTTAAAATAGTGTTTTCTAGATTATTTTGGTCTTAATCTACACTGGGTACATCTACAGGTGCACTAATGTGCCAGAGGTATGTGCCATACCTGTAATAACAGGTACTAACTGAATGCGCAGTATCCAACACTACTGCGCAACAGCATCAGCGCATGCCTTTTTAGTGACATTAATGTGCAGTAGACTAATACTACTGCATACTAGCAAAACAGCAAGGCTTTTGCTGTGATGCACTAATACGCAGTACAATTAGTCTATGGCACATTTAGCATCTTGTGTAGACCCACCCACATTTACCTTAGCTGGTTAAAGTAGATGGTTAGCTGATTTCTCTGTACCCTTGAATAGAAGCAGACTTGAACACAGAAACTGTCTAACTGCAACAGATCAGTGGTCCACTTAGTCCAGTATCCTATCTCTTAACAGTTGTCGATATGAAATGCTTTAAGAAAAGCACCTCATTTTGGAGCATAGTACCAGGGAAGGAGAATTTCTTCCTGACCCAGCTGGAGATCAGCAAATGCCCTGAAGGATGAGGACTCAGAGTCTTTGCTGTTACTATCAGAGCTATGCTAACTGCAGGCACTCCTCTCATTTATACAGATACCTAATCCTCCTTTGATGCTGTACTAAGCTATTTACCTCAGGTAATCTTGGCACAAATGCCTCTCTCTTAAATCTCATGCCAGACCTGCTCATGCATTCTCCCATACAATACCGCCTGAAGATGTCCAAAAGGTTCCCCCTCGATGCTACAGCCTGCCTAGCTTGCTTTGGAATGAATCAGGGGTTTTCTTATGCTCTGGGGACTGTGTCTAAATGCTCTTCTTTTCCCAACCACTAATGGGGTCAGAACAGCTCTTCCCATAATGGCCTGGTTCTCCCTTGAGCATTCTGTCTCCAAGAGATGTTCTGAAAGATACACCTTTAGATACAATGCAGCCCAAGAATTATTAGAGCGTTTATTAAAGGTATTCATGTGCCCTGCTAATCATAATGCAGAGGAAAGATATGAAGAACATAAGCAGAATATTGCATTCCTAAGAAAAGCAGTACCTACGAAGTGTGCCCATGTTATTGGACAAATTTTGTTACATGCAAAAGAGAGACAAAAATGTGATAACCCCCCTGCATACAATTAGCAAGTGCTCACAGCTCAGCTCCTGCTGGGAGCAGAGACCTGTCCCCTCAGTGTGAAAAGAGACCTGAGGTTGGGTGGGGAGCTTATTTCCTATATGATCACACCCTTATTGACATCATTTGGCCTGACACAGTTCCCTTTTCTACACCCTAGGGAATGTTTCAAATATAACTAAACCCAGCTCACCCCCACCTGGTGTGAGCAATGCTGGTAACTCTAGAGGAGGCAAGGCACCTGCAGCTGGCGTTACATCATACACCATGCCACCTAACCCTGCTCAGAACTGGTCTAAGACATGGAGAAAGGTCCTCCACTGATGCCAAGCAATGGGACTCTGTTGGCTTCAGTAGAGCTGTGCTGATTCACAGTAACTGAGCATCTGACCCATGTGCTTCAAGAGGCTGCAAGAGTCTTGCCTCCCCAGGGCCTGGGTAAGGAAGAGAGAGAAAGTTTGGTTGCTCTGCTCCTCTCTGGTCATGCCGACATGTTCATTTAGAATTGCCTTGTTCTCTTTGCAACTACACACTTACGTGGGAATCACTTTTGCTTCTATATCATGTGGTCAGGCAGTCTGGGCCAACTTGCCTCAGCCATATCCACAGGCCATTTCTTTGGATTGGTTCATTGGTAGCTTCCTAATATAGGTCAGTCTTGGACAATTAAAACCTACACCAGTCTGCTTCCTCCCTGCTGTTTGTGCATGTCCATTGCAAAAAAATTTCCAAAACTTAGTAACGCAAAAGGAAACCAAAATGGAAGCTGTTTTGCACTGGGACAGGTAAACAAGCATTCTTCCACTCCCAACCTCAGATCAACCTGTTTCAATGTGTGATAATTTAAGAAAAACCTGCCATCAGAGTCCCATTCTATCAGAAGCATCCTGTAGCTGAGTGCCACAGGTTAAGGATACACTGTATCAAAATGTATCCCTTCAAAGCAGGGGTATCACAATCACTGCCATTTTAAGGGTAGGTAAGATGGGGTGGGAAGGTGAGGGGACATTAGCTGCTGGAGTTTTGGAGATGCACTAAAGCAGCGGGGAGTAATACCACCACCACAGGGGCTCCAGCAGCTGCAGTGACAACAGCCATGGGCTGAATGACCCACCTCCACAGGTCGGATTTGGCCCATGGGCTATATGTTTAACATCTCTCTTTCAAAAAATGGATAAGAGGCAGGGTAGATATGCACCCTCAGAGCTAGTTAAGTGTGTTTGCGTGGGGAGGGAGGGGTTGGGTCTGGGTTTTCATCCCATTCTTTTGTCCTCCTGTCTAAAAAGGTTAATGATTATTTTGGCTGAACTATCATGGACAAGACAGCATTAGGGAGATCCCCATTTACCTGAAGGGATATCCAAACTGCACGGAGATGGCAGTCATTTCTTGGTTTTTGCCATTGCATTTCACAGTAGCCCCCGTCTCCCCACTGAAAGAGCCACAGGATCCAAAGGCAAATATGGCAAAGAGCTGGAAGAGAAGAAGCAAAACGCTTTGGAGCCAGAGGGACCCCAGCTGGTGAGAAGGAAACTGGCAAAAGACCCGTGATGACAGCCCTGCTGGGCCCCCCACCCCTCCTGAGACTTACAGTGCAGCCTGGAGTGATCACAGGTAAATCATCCTGGGTTCATAGTCCTCACAGGGCTGCAGTGGAACTGTTACAGGGTAACAGGGGTGAATGGATAGCTTCTGCAGCTTCCAGTCAGGTGCCCCAGTCACCCGCTGTGCTGGTGAAACCAGGCAGCAGACAGCGGAGTACCAGCAGATCCATTTCTTGGAACAATAATGTTTATAGCAAAAGAAATAAGAACAGGCCAACACAGACAACATGTGAAAAAACCGAAAACTCTCCAGGCCAGGACTCCTGGGGGACGATCTCGGTCTTCATGGAGGCATTCTCCGGTGTCCTGTACACGGCCACTCTTACAGCTCTCATCCCAAGCAAGAGCGCAACAGCAACAGGAAGTAAGAGATGAGCTGGAGTCATATACCAGGCAGTGTGATAACTGGCCAGACATCCCACCAGGGGAAAGATGAGTTTTCCCCAGAGCCTGTTCAATATATGGCCTCCCTGCTAAAATCAAATAAGGAGGCCAGTAAAAGCCAATAATGACATGGACACCTGCCCGTTGGGAACTAGACTGAGACCATGACCTATCCTCCAGTGGAAAACCATCACCCGTACTATCGGTCACTGTCCTAAGGACTTGAAGACTATTTGACAACCTAGAAGTGAAAGGCTCCATATGCCATTACCAATCCTCTGAGCCAGCCATTCTCCCTAATTAGGTTTGTTGGACTTCAGCATTAAAAACAACGGTTGTACATTTTCAGTGGGAACCAGAAACACCTGCACTAAGTAAACTGGAACAGGTATGCAGCAGCAGGTAGGACAATAAGAGGCGCGATCTCACCCTATCACCTGGCCTCTCTTACAAGATACAAGTGCCCTTCTCTCCGCAATACACATCTAGCGCTCTGACTTCATAAGATTTAGCCCAGGTTGTAGTAACACAGGGGCTGGCCTGCTGATTCTCACAGAGGTTAGAAACAAAGCACAGAGTCATGCAGGAAATCAATCTTAGTGCTGGGAATAGACCACAGGTGTGTGAGCTCATGAGTCTCCAGTCCAACTAATAAATGGCACTCCCTCATACAAGAATCTGCAAGAAGGAAAGAAAAAGACAATCCCACCAGGCTGGCTCCCAAAACTCCCCTTGCTAACACTGACTCTTCCAGGTTCTGGGACAGCAGTGGGTTAGCACAGGAAGACATCCTAGGGCATAACATGCCAGACCAGCAAAGGGTGTAAACATCACTTGTAGCCTGCTTTGCACTGCTCCTACCTCCATTACGTGCTGCTTTGAAGAACCACAGCACGGGTGCCACAAGTGGCACAGACAGCCTCTGTGTGTGGCACATGGCAAATCAGGGCGAGGACAGGCAGCACAATGGGAGATCGGGCCAGAAGCAGAAAGCAAGGCAGCAAATCAGGCAAGGAGTGCTGGGCAGGGAGCAGAAAGCAAAGCAGCAGACCGGGCAGGGAAAAGGGATCAGAGTGGCACTTGGGGAGGGTGTGGGGCTAACTTGTATGCCTGCCAAAAAGGTTGGCCCCCACTGACTTAGAAAACAGGCAGAAAACAGCTTCAGGGGCTGGGACATGGAGGAGGAAGGCATCGCAGTTTCACAGACTAAGAAGAAGATAAAAACAGGCCCACTGCTAAAGAAAAGGGGGCAGTGCCTTACCCCGACACATGGCATCCCCAGCCGTGAACTCAGCAAATACTCTGAGCTATAAGGGGAAGCAAAAATCACTAGCAGCAGCCCAGCATAATACCTGAGATCACAAAGCCACCAGCAGTTTGCTACTTTGTTCTAGAGTTGCTTCCTAATGGGCCCAAAAAGGTCTGGCTGTCCCTCATAAAGAGAGCCTCTGTACTAGTCTAGAACAGCTGAGTGACAGCCCAGTCCCTCACCAGTTCCACCTCCCTGCTGGGTTTCTGTTCCATCCCTGCCCAGCAATGCCAGCAATGTAGGCTGCCTGGATGCCATGCCAGAGAGCTTTTCTTACGGGCTCCCTTTCCCGTCTTGCTCCCGTCTTGCTCACTGGCTCCCTCGGTGAGCTGGCCAGCTTGGGGACAGCCCATGAAGCTTCACGCTTGCTCGTAGGTGTGCAGTCATGGAAGGAGAATGGCCCCAGGTCAGGCAGGAACCTGGACGGTGCCACAAAACCTAGATGTGGGCACACATCTTGCTCCAGCTCCAGTGCGTAGGCAATCCCCTTAGCATTGGTAGGCGTTACAGAGGAGGCTCCTCGGTGGCTTTTGAACAATTTCTTACGTGGCTGTCAGGCCACCTGTCCCCTACGGCACTGAATCAGCAGCTTGGAAACCGCTCAGAGAAGCCGGGTGTTTCAAGAGCTGCTGATGCAGTGGCATGCAGGCAGGTGGCTTGGCCAGAAGTGAAGAGCCCCTTTTTTAAAAAATATCTCTGTTTTTACAGGAACCTCAAGCTGTTCTCCTGCTTTGTGCCTCACTGTGAAACACAGCCTGACAACCCGATGATCTGTGTCAGGGGTGGGAAGCTGAGGGCTTGCGACCCCGTTAAAGTTCTTTATCCCTTTAAAGAACCGTTTGAGTTTCTTTCTGGTACTGATAATACTGAAGCGCCTTGATGCTTCTAAGCCAAAATCAGTTTTCAGTTACACATTCAATAAACTGCTGTCTTGTTTTCTTTGCCTCCTTGTAATAAGTGTGTAATTCATCCACACAGGAAATGGTTACAAGTCTCAAATGACATTTCCTGTGCTTCATTCTGCGTTGAATTTCTCTTTTTCTTCTACTGGCACAGGGTGAAGATGAATGTGGTTCCTGAATAGTTTTCTGGTAACTCATCCAGAAACTGAGCACTGGTTAAGTTCATGCTCTCTGAACTCTGGCTTCCCGAAGCAACAGAAAGAAACATCAGCTCTGTGTGTGTCGCATGTTGCGTTTGAGAGGGAGAGAAAAGAGAGCACGGAAATGTAGGGTAAAGAGCCTCAGACTGAATATTTCACACTTCATCCATAAAGGATGGATTCCCCCTTGAACATAACTAAATCATTAACCCAACAGGGGGAAAATGTATAGCATTTGGGGCAGAGGAGATTCACTGTGGGTGCATCTACACATTCATTAATATGCCTTAATTACTGAGCATTGAGTATAGTACTTGTTTAATGAAGTAATAACTAAATGCATAGTAACTAGAGTTACTGTGCAGTAGCACCGGTGCACAGTTATTTCATGACGCTTACTGTCCATTAACCTAATAACTCTGTGCAGTAGGCTATTAGCATGGTTTTTAACCACCACGCTACTGCGCAGTGTTATTAGGCTAATGCGCAGTAAGCATCTCGTGTAGACGCACCCCGTGTCATCTTGATCACTTCCCAACCAAAGCAGAATTATGCCTTACTGAATATTCCCTACCGCTTTGTCCAGCCTAGTTTTAAATGATTGAAGCATTGTGTCTTCCACGGCTTTGCTTGTGACACTGTGCCCTAGTCCCATGCATCTCTTTCTTACCGTTTGTTTTCTGCATTAAAGTTTCCTGTTGTTTAGCATTAGCCAATCACTCCTAGTTATTATGGTATTGCATCTTCGGGCTACTTTTGAATGGAGGGCCTGACCCGGCAAGCTCTTTGAACGGAGCTTCTTCAATTTGTACTGGCTTCCATCAGAACTTGGGCTATTTATTGGTACATGAACATAAGTCACTGCCATTTACTGAATGCAACCACAGGTCCATCTTGCCGAGTCTCCTGTGTCACACAGGGGCAGGGAGTGGAAGCTGAAAGGGAGAACGAACAGGGCACAACCAGGGTTTTTCCCACTGTTCCTCTCTCACTTGCAACCTCCTGCCTTTAGGGTCTAACTGGCCTCTCATTAAGGGTAACTGGCCTCTTAATAGTCAAGTCAAAAGTGAAATTAATATTAATCAGACCTGTCTCAGGTTTGGGGTAGTTGGTTTGCACCCTGGGTTTTCAAGGGGACTCACAGCTCTCTTTGGCTTCAACCAGAACTGCAGGTGCCCAAGCCCTTGGTGTCCCAGGTTGGGGTTTAGACTCCCCAAAATTCAGTTACTTAAAACCCAGAACCAACATTTGAATGTATTTGCCTGGGGCTATACACATTTGGGGCTACATCTTCTGGGTGGCCAAATCAAGAGAGCTGGGTTTGATTTGGGGCTGTAGACCTTGTGTAAGTTACTTCCCCTCTTTGTCCCTAAGCTTCCCCATCTGAAAAACAGCAATAATGACTGACCTCATCTGTAACGAGCTTAGTGATCTATGGATGAAAATTGCTACATAAGCGCTATTATTAGAATAACCGTGGTGCAATATATACTAGTATGGGCTTCCACAGAGTCTGGCAGATCAGGAGTGAGACCCCAAATGCCACAAGCAAATGTGGAACAGTCTGGTCACCAAATGGAGGCGTGAAATAAATACAGCAGTGTTGATGTGTCCCCAGATCCGACGGTGCAAATCATTCATATTCCAGACCGACGGCCCTGCCAACTGCACTCTTTACAAACATTTTAATTCACTGTTATTGTTACCAAAGACTTTCCATACTCTGCTTCATTCAAGGGTCTCAGACCCCTTGGAAAGAGTAATGAATGCAGATGCCTGAAAGCAGGTATCTTCTCCTTACTGATGGCTCCACTGGGGCTCAGAGGACATGAAACGATTTGCCCAAGGTCACGCAAGGGTTGTACCTACAGAACCCAGGAGTCCCCGTTCTCCAAATCCTGCTCTAGACAGCACTTCTTCCTGGTTAAGGATGCAATAAGTGGGACAATGTCTGATGCACAAACTGGAGAGAGAGTCAACCCCTGTAAAACCATGAGATAACTTTCCCGGTAGAACACATGTTGTGGTGAAAATCACTGTGGCAGAGAGAGCCCAAGACATTAAGGCTTGATTTAATGAGCAGAAGGTAGCTGAAGGCTGCTTCATTAATAAGGTGAGCCTGGCTGTCCCACACGCTCCCCCCTGGAGCGCTGCGCTCCCAATTAGTACAGGACCCATTCCCTCGCCCCTCACCCCCCGCCCCCGGGGGTGGGTGAAGAGAACGGAGTTCAGGAGCTGAGACACAAGCCAGGCCCGGTATGTGCAGGATCAGAGCTCTGGAAAGGTTAAACCACTGCAGCCAGGGTGTTTTTTTCCCCCTCCCCGTGAAATGTGAGCGGCGCTCCGTGGCCCCTCCCGGCAAATCCAGGCTTCCTTGCTCATAGAAGGGCTGCCTTGGAGGGCACCGCGTGCTCCGCTCCTTCCCCTCCTGCCCTGCTCATGCCTGGCTCCTCCAGCCCCCCAGCCCCGCAGGGGCCTGCTCCAACCCCCGCCCCTCGGGGCAGCATCGGTGCCTCGGGCCAGCTTGGCATAACTTTGCA